GGACTCTTTGGTGGCCACATGAAGTAGTAGCTAAGTACTCCCTAAATACAGATTAGCAGCAAATTCCCCTGTTTCCGGCCCACACTCCGTTACATCTTCTGCTGTATCCTCAGTCTTCAAGCCTGAGGCTTTCTGAGGTTCTGTGGTATAAATGGCTTGTCATCTAGAGCCCCCTCTTCGGCTACTTCGGTTTTTTTGTTTGGTTGTTTGGTGGTTTGTTTTGTTTTTAGAAAGAGAGAGTGCATGGGGGGGTGAGGGGTAGAGAGGGAGAGACAGAGAATCTCAAGCAGGCTCCATGCTCAGCACAGAGCCTGACTCAGGGCTCAACTGCATAACCCCAAGATCACAACCCAAACCGAAATCAAGAGTTGGACACTCAACCAACTCAACTAGGCGCCCCTGGCTACTTTGCTTTTCACTTCGTTCATTCTTCTGCGATAGTTCTCACTCCCGTGCTGCCACTCAGCATGCCGTGATGGAGGAGTTTTGCACAGGAAGGTTATTAACATCGCTCCGGGGGCCGTGTGGGGATAAACTGGAATGGGACCTGGAGAGACAGACGTGAGGCGAGAGGTGATGAGTATGAGGACTCGCTGTGGCCAGAGGGGAAGGAGGGATGAAATACGAACCGAGTAGGATGAGAAGGACCTTAGGACCTAAGGAGAGGGAAGAATCCAGGATGCCACCTCGTTTCTGACCGAAGGGACACAGTGAGAAGAGCAGACTGGGTGAGGATGGGTTCAGTTGAAGTGTGAGGGACTTCCGCGTGGAAATATCCAGCAGGCAGATGGATACTGGCAGGGTCTTTTGCTGCTGATCCTCACCAAGTATGTGATAGTGGGAGCCCATGGTAGGAATGAGATCATCCAGCTAGCAGTTGAAGGAGGAGGGAAGGGTGCAGAGTTGAGGACAGAGAAGAAAAAGTCTGTGTCCCCCAGAAGTGAGATAAACAGGGGACGGGAACCAGGTGACTACCATCCCAGCCCTTCCACAGCAGTGACCTATCTGACATTAGCCACAGCCTCAGAGACAGGCATCCTCCCGGGAGCCCTCTGTGTGAGCTCTGCGCACCACCCGAGTCCCGCAAGAGGACGGCCCACTGCCTGCAGCTGTTCAGGGACAGCTGATGGGGATGCCCTTGGGGTTTCCTTCTGGGGCACAGGATCAAAGAGAGCTGATGGTGGGGATTTCCCCTCTGCCTTGAGGTCAGAGGTCACACGGAAGTGCAGGTCGGGCTCCGGGCGTTCCTGCCTCCCCCCCACACCACAGGTGCAGGCGCTCTGAGGTCACCACCGGACTTGAGGTTCTTCATTGTCAGAAGCGGTGGCTGGCCTCACGTCTGACACCTAGAAAAGACTTACCCCAGAGTCTCCTGGTGCATTTACTCTGGCAGCCGTTCCTGGGTGTGAAAATAAGCACAGTAGCCTTGATTCCTTGCTTGCCCACACGTTTACCTCACTAAGCCCTTTACGTGCTTTCTGTCCCTGTAGCACACAACTTTAGAAGAGGGGAATGTGCTGTGCCCATTTTACAGATGAGAAAATGGGCCCAGGGAAGTTCCGTGACTTGCCTGACGTAGTGTCTGCCTCTGTCTATCCTGGGCACACTCCCGTGTTAGAACTCCGAATTTATGCTAGCCATTGGCTGTGTCCTCGTCCCATGAGAGCCCACCTCCAGACCTGCCACACTTCAGCTGCTGCTGGTGGTGGTGTGTGTGCGTGTTCCACAGACGCCCCTCCCTGCTCCCAGCTCTCCTAGCTGCCCTCCGGAGACCACAGGAATTCTGATGAATTAATCTCATCACTTTATTGAGGAGGCACTTACAGAAATGACAAGGCAAGGCCACCAGCCTGGCTTTGCTGGCAGCCAGCCGCTGGGGCCATAAAACAAATTGAAAGGAACAAAAATAAATAAATAAAATAAGAATTTTCTCTCTCTCTCTCTCTCTCACACACACACACACACACACACACGGGGTCAAGACGTTGCTCAGGTTCTTGTTGTTAACGCTCAGTCCTCTTGTCCTGGGAGAGCACCGGTGCCGAATCGACAGACAGTTATTGACCCCCTGCTCGAGCAACAGCCCTGCAAAACCTGGGACCCATCCTCCTCCAAGGGATGTCAGGCTGCTTGCTTGTGCAGCCGAGACCAGTGGAGGTGAAGAGCCGGCAGCACGCGAGTGGCCTCCCAAGGCAGCGTGAGTTACCTTGCCAGGTGAATGCGGCGTCGCGACGGGCCCCGCGAGCTCACTCACTGCCCCGTGGTTCAGGGCGAGACTCGAGCCACACCGTCTGGGTTCAAGTCCTTGCTCTGCCTCATCCTGGACTCCGCTCACCTCTCTCAGCGCTAAGGTGCAGAAAAGAAGGTGTTCACTTCCAGAGTTGTTGGGGAAAGGAAGGAGGCCGTATAGGAAAAGCAGAGCCGTGGCTGCTTCATGAGGAGCCCTCGTCCGTGTGGATGGAGCACCTGCTGTGTGGGGGGCACCTGGCGTCACACGGGGAGGAGAAGCAGCAGCATCTTAAGTGGGCCCTGGAGGTGTAGGCCGGCCAGGTGAGGTGGCGGAGAGAGCTCACGGGGAGTGTTCTAGGCAGCACTGGAACAAAGGCCCGGAAGCCTCGGTTATCACTGAGTTCCAGGAACTGATCGTTGTGCAGAGCAATAGGGATGTCAAGGCTGAAGAGAGACGAGTGGGGTGGGAAGGCGGCCGGGACCAAATTCTGCAGAGCTTTCCTTCCAAGCCAGGATAGACTTGGATGAGTTAGTTTATATCTGTGTTTTCTTCCTGTTCATCTTTTCAATTTACCGCGCTTATGGGAATATTGAAATTATTTGCCAGAAGTCACACAAGCCAGAGCAAACTAAGACAGGGATGGGCATAGCATTGGATAAAAGGGGAGGGGCACGCAGAATCTTTATCCCTTCCCCTTCCTGACCTCCCCCACCCTCCGGTGCAAAGGCTGACTTCTAGACTCCCCTCCCCCACAGGAAGTGGGTGGCAGAAAGGTGATAAGGTGAGGCCAGTGGGGGGGAGACAGATGGAGATCTAAGGTGCCCCAGGCAAATCAGCCGCTTCCTCACCAATACAAAAGGGGGCTAAGGCTACTAAGTTCTTGTGAGCACTCACCTTGCATTTGGGGTTCAATAATTTTATTACTTCAGAGCACTTTGTCAGGGGTAGAAGTTGGTTCCTGCTGGCTCTCAGAAAATCCAACAGTCAGTGTTTTCCATATGCCACATGGGGAGGCTGAGGCACAGGGATGCTGGAGAGCAGTCCCCTCCCTGACTTCCTCCAGACCACCTCAGCTACTGGGTTCACAGCAGGGAGGGGCCTCTCTGGTCTCCCCAAGCTTCTCGTGGGGTGCAGGGGTGGCACAGGGACTCTGTGTGGCCTTTAGTAACTCATTTCAGCGCCCTTAGTCTCAGTTTCTGGGTCTGTGAAATGGGGCATTGGTGGGCCCACCTCTGAGCAGGTGCAGGGTAAAAGTAACCGTTGGAACTGCTAAAGTGGATGGGGTTGGGGCCGGGGGAGGGGTGGGCGGGATTCAGAGGCTGGGCAGGCCTGGAACCGCCCTTTCAAGCCCTGTCTCAGGCTGTGAGTGTCCTTTCCAAGACTGCTCTGTGTGCGGCAGTGTCCTTGCTGGGTGAGATGGGCCAGACAGCACCCCTGCTTCAAAGGAGTGTCCCGGGGGCCTCAGGAGCGGGGGATGTGGCAGGCAGGCAGGCAGCCTTCTGGGCATCACTTCACCATGTTCCCTCAGCAGGCGGGCATCTGGATGGGGTGGGAACAGGAGGTTTGCTTTAGTTCAGTGTCTGTTCTCTGAAAACCACAGGCTCTGGAGGACCTCACAGAGTTGGGACCGGGGCCGGGAAGACCAAATAAAAAACAAAACAGCACTGGGGTTGCTTGCTGTCTTGCATTTTACCTTCCAGTTGTCTTCCCCCCCCACCCCTTTGCGCCCCCTTTCCTTCCCATTGCTTTTCTCTTCGCATTTATAGCTGCACAATGCATATTTGTTAAGTTCTTGTAGACAGGTAAGAGTACAAAGGACAGAGGCTCTGTCTCTATTAGCAGCCACAGCCTCTCCTGTAAAATGGGGATCAGTACCTACTTCATGGGATTGCTATGAGGATTCAGCAGGTGACTCATTCAACCAGCTTTTCCTGCAAGGCTTCTGCATGGCAGGGGCTGATCTCGGTGTGGCTGGAGATTGAGCATGTAAACAGTGGGAGCATGGGTCAGGTTCATGGTAGCCGTTATTATAATTCATTAAAAGGGCGAGACAGAAAATGATCACAAACACCCTCTGTAGTAATGAACTGTGGTTATATAATCACCAGCTCAGTGTGGAATAATGCTTTACAATTTTTTTTTTTTTTTTTTTTAAGTAAGCTCTACATCCAGCGTGGGGCCTGAACTCACTACCCTGAGATCAAGAGTTCCCATGCTCCACCATCTGAGCCAGCCAGGCGACCCAGTGTTTTACAGTTGTTAAAGCAATTTTATAACCATGATCTTGCTAATCTTTCATTTTGGAGATACCACACGGCTTGCAGAGGAGGAAACCGAGACTCAGTGAGAGGAAAGTGATTTCCTCACGGTCAGCAGGCTGAGAGGCCTGGGCCCTGTGGGCCCAGAGCTGCAGAGAGGCTTTTTCCATGATTTGGGGCCCCGGGCTGGAGGGCACAGGGTCTCGTGGTCTGCACCTACATTCTGGTCAGCGCAAGGGGGTGTTCTCTGGGATAAAATGCCAGCTCAGTGGTGCCTTCAGAGCTGGGGGTGACCCTTCTTCCAGGTTGTGGCTGCCTGGCCCACGCAGACCTCCGGGACTGGGAGCTCTGTATTGAAGAGCGTTGGAAAGATTTGACAAGCACCGCAGAGCACCTACTCTGAGAGCCACTGCCCTATGGGGACCTCGGGAAGAGGGGCACTTGTAGGTGTGGCCTTCGGTTGGCGGTGGGGGCCCTTGACGCACCGTAACCCTGTGTGTATCTGGTTGCAGGGAACATCGAGTACAGCTGCCCGGCCACCAACGAGTGTGAGATCACGAAACGGAGGCGCAAGTCCTGCCAGGCCTGCCGCTTCATGAAATGCCTCAAAGTGGGGATGCTGAAGGAAGGTAAGAGGCCCGCGCACCCACGCTGTGCTCTCGCCAAGGCCACCGGGGGTCTCAGGCCCCTGTGTTCCTGTCCCCGGGCCAGTGCAGACCCTGGACGTCTCCTCCTGCATCCCAGGGGAGGACCCTGCTCCCTGGGGTGCGTCCACCTTTCGTCTCCCACACACCACCCTGCACACAGGTTTACAGCGGCCTCGGAGCTCCACTCCTAAGGCAGACGTGGGGCATCAGGAAGGCAGGTGTTGGAAGTTCCCCATTCTGGATCCTTCGGGAAACCCCACCTGGGCCCTAGAAAGCTGGCTTGGCCCTCTGGGGAAGGACCTCCTCTTGGGGCGAGCCCCTCGTTCACCCTGGAAGGGGTAGGCTTGAGATGCTGCCGTCCCGCATGGCGGGGCCCTGAGTGTGGGCGCACAAAGAGCAGAGACGTTAAAGCCCAGAATGACACATCAGGTCCTCTTCACCTGAGCAGGGCCGCTGTGCTCTCCTGCACGTGGGCAGGACACCGCTGTCACCTTGTGGAGGTCCCCCTCCACCGCCACGTTCCCCGCCACCTCATCCTCTTACTTCCCCGTCTCCTCCTCTGTAGCTGAGCCGGCTGGCCTGGCAGGCCATGGGCTCCGAAGACTTACCAGACTTACCAGGATGATAAAAAGTAGAGTTACGAAATAGTGTAGTAATTATTTTTAAAAAACTGAGTGCATGTTGGGGTGATAATATTTTGGATATATTGGGTGAAACAAAACATAATGTGACGTGAATATTGCCCGCTTTTTACCTTTTTTAAAGTGGCTACTCGCAAATTTAAAATGACATGCGGCTCTCATTATTTGGACAGCACTGCTCTGGGGCTCCTCTTCGTCACCTTCCCTGTTGATCCGCTCAGATGGATGACCCTTGTTCAGGACCATTTTGGGGGATGGGGTGTTTGTGTGTGTGTGTATTTCTCCCCTAACCCAGCTTTAGAGGGAGCTGGTGGAGGTTCTTACATATCAGCTTTTATGATTCTGGACCCTGGGATCCTTCCAGAAGTGGAAGGAGGCAGGAAAAGTGTGTACTGATGATCGCATGATGGGGAGAGGCTGGGAGAGAAAGGGAAGGGGCAGGCGAGTCTAGAACATAGTCCCTCACTGAGAGGGGGCTTCTGGAAGCCCAGCCCAGCCTTTGAGGGCCAGGGCACTCTTCCCATTGTCCTCCCATCCCCTCCAGGGGAAGAAGGCACGAATTTTAGATGCTTTGTTGGTAGGACAACCTGGACCTTATTGTGGAAATCAGAGACCCCCTCCCCCAGTTTCTATCTCAGGCACCCCCCTTCAGCCCAGCCCAGCGTGTGCACCTCTAAAACAGAAGCTCCTGAAGCAGTTCCTCAACTACCCCCATATCCACATAGCATGTTGGCCTTTCAACTGCATTTCTCGTTAGCCGCTTCATTTACCGCCTTGGAGATGGGGAAGCCACTCAGCTGTTAGAAATGTGTGAGCTGCTCTATGGGGGGGGGGGGGGGGGACGGTCAGCTGAAGAACAGTCCTGTTTCTAGATTAAAGATGGGCTGTCGTAGACCTGCTAAAAGGTTGTGAGTTAGTTCATTTTGATTCTACACAATTTTGGTCTTACCCTGGTGTAGGGTGTGACCCACCTAGTGGCTGAACTGGGTCCCCTGACTCCTACACCAGGCTTGTTCTGCTCCTCCAGAGCATCCTGGGGTTCACAGGGGAGGAAACTGAGGCATAAAGGCCCTCAGCAGTCTGCTTTGGTGCTGGCCTCTTGACTTCCTCCTCTATGTGCTGCTGGACACCAACCTAACAGTGTCTAGGTCTTCGAGCGAGAGGCTCCTCGCTCCTAAGTCCTGAGGACGAGGGCTGCCACCTTGTTCTGGGAAGCTGGGTGTGAGGGCGCCGGGTCAGGCTGGGGGTCAGCCGCCCAGTGGCCTTTCCTGGTTGTAGGTTGTAGTTTGGCCTCTCTTTGCTTACTTCACAGCAACTGAGGAACTTAGGGCAGAGGGGAGCTGCCGTGCTACCAGTGCTCCTGGATTTTAAGGATGGCAGAATTGAGTCCTGCAGAGAGGTTGGGGCTTGAGGTCTCTCCCACCCCCAGCCACCTGCCAGTTTGTGGGGAGCTGGACCCAGAGCCTGGAGCTTCTCCATGCCCTGTGTTGTGTCTGCCCCAACCACAGGCCACCCCACCCTCAGCCCAGGATTGTGAGCTGGAGAGCAGGGGAGAGAGGAGAGATGAGGCAAGAGGAGGACTACCACTTGGAATCCCCGCCGGTCTCTAAGGACGCTGTTTGAAGAAGACTCTCCTCAGGGACTACCCAGTACTGGGAAGAGAGTGGGAGTGCCTCCTAGTGGCCCTCCAGAACGGGGGAATGACAAGGGGGACCCACTGATGGCAGAGAAGTGTGTGGCCAGGTGCACGCTGGTGGCAAAGACAGCTCAGGTACCCGGCGGACCGCTTCAGAGAAGCGAAGTAGATGCTGTGTGTCCCCAGACTACAGTGTGGGGGTGCTGGGGGCATGTGGGCCTGAGAGAAGCTCTGCCTCAGGGAAGACGTGCACGGTGGGGCCCCAACCTTGGCCTCCCTCTGCTCTAAAAAGCCCTGTGGTTGGCCCAGGACTTGGATGCAAGAAAGGGTGCAGGATGGCCTCTCTCTTCAGTGGCAGCCAGGGGCATGGCCCCAGCCTGGAGACACCCTTTCTGGAGCTCTGCCTGGAGGAGGAGGGGGCAGTCACCAGAACCCTCCCCGTCCTCACCCTGCCCCAGTTCTGGCAGTTCCAAATCCAGAGGGGGCAGGATGACACAAAGGCACCCGAGTCTGGGCAAAGCCCAGTGCCTCCATTTAGTTTCTGTCCACCCCCCCAACCCCCGGCAGCGCTGAGCCTTGGCGGGATCCTGCGATCAGAAGCTCCACGGGGACCAGCCCCCTTAGGAGGAGCTTGCCTCATTGAGGAGCCTGGGTTCCTGCCAGGCAGGGGCTCTTGGAAGCTGCCCTGACTCCTGCTTTTGTTTGGTTGTCCCCCCACCACTTTGTGAGCAGGAGCCCAGGCCCCTGGGACCAGCACGGGCTCCCTGCCTCCCTCTCCTTCCCTCACACAGACCTGACTCTGAAAGGCAGACTCCAGCCTTCCCGGGAGCTGCTCCTTCTCCTTAAGCTTCCACAGTGGGCCTCTCGCATGGAGGAACCGGGGACTGGGGTCTGGGGCCCCGTGCAGGGGTGCGGGGGTGGCCGGAGGCTGGGGAAAGGATGGGGATGCCCGCTCCCCTTCCTCCCCATCCCACCTACACATCTGCCTTCTGCCCAGCAGCTCTGGAGGTCTTTTCCAGTTTTTCTTTTCTCAAGTACAACAGCCTGAGAGACTGCTTCATGACTTGGGGGGCCCAGCAACTGCGGAGCGGGGAGGGAGATGTCTGGTCGTGTGGCTTCTTTTGGCTCAGCCTCTGCTGTGAGGCTGCCATAGGCTCTGGAATCCTCGACTGAGCAATGTAGGCAATGCCCACAGGTTTGTCTCACTTCAGGCAAACCCACTGTGTGAAAGTCTGTATTTTCAGAGGGGAAAAAAAAGTGATTTTTCTCTTCATAAAACCTTGAATACAAAATCCACACTAGGTTGGGAGTGGGTGCCTGCGGCCTCCTCCTGGCTCTGAGGGGACCTCGCCGTGCATGTTAGTTCTCACGCTCTCGGGCCTCCACGTCTTCACCTGTGGAGCGGGGGGTTGAAGTCCGCCCTGCATCAGCAGGTCACGGTGGGGCCCAGGGGGAACAGCTCCTTGGTGAAATCCACCGTGGCACTGCTTTACGATGTCACCTCTCTGGGCCTGTTACTCTAGTATTCAATTCAATGGCAGTCTCCTTTGCGCTGAGCTTTTCTAGCAGCCCATCGGTTGTGTTAGGCGGGGCATCCTGGCTGCCCTGATTTTCCTCCTGGACTCCGTGGTGGGAATCTCAGAGGAGGTATCCTTCTTAGGCTGGCCCCGTCTGGGGTCGAAAGTCAGGATGAGCGTCTCCTTTAGGACAACCCTGGAGATGCTCTCCCCTGAGAGGCGGACTTCCCAGCCTGGCTAAGGTGTGGCCTGACAGCCTCCCAGTGGAAGAACCTGGAAAACCATTTGCTACCTTTCTCAGGAAGCCCTCACACTACAGTACAGCTCTGGGCTTTCAGCAGCTCTCCCTTGAAGGCTCGTCCTGCGAACTTCACCTTCTCCTCACCTCACTTCACCTGCCTCAGGCCGGCAGCCTCCCTGTCCCGCTCCTTTTCCTCCATACCTCGGCCCCTGCCCGCCTTTCCCCAAGTGTTTTCTAAAAGATATTTGATTTCAGTGAAAGCTGGGCTGACATCCATGCAATATGCTCTCACTGTCTTTGTGCTTGTTGGGCGGGCGGGGAGGGCTCCTGCGGGGATTCTGGGTAATTGGGTTAGTGGCCAGCTCATGTCAGGAAATTAAAAGGAGGCTCCGATCAGGTTCCTGCTGCATGGGATTTAATGGCTTTGTATTTATAGAGTATTCCGCCTCTAGCCCCTGCCAGAAACACCACTTTTCTGGCCCTCTGAGTGAAGAAAGAGGATGAGAGATGACTTGTCTTTAAAAGTTCTTTTTTCTTTTCCAAAATGCATTAGTGTTCTGAAACAAACCAGCTCTCCGGCACTTCAGAGAATAGTTTTGAACTAGAGCCCAAGAACCCTGATGTATAGTTGTATCCCCCCCCACCACCATTTTCCATCTCACACACGTGCGCATCGACGCACACACATGCACGTGTGCGAGTACACACTCAAAGTCTGACAGCTCACGAGATCTTCCCACGTGGCCTCAGCCTCTGGGCCATTCAGGCACAATGACCTCATGACCTTTGGTTGGGGAGATGTTAACTGAATGAAGCCATAGGGGATGATCTTGTCTGTGCCGAATCCTTATTACTGTTCATGCAGGACTTTGGGTGTGCCAAAGCATGAAATAACAGGTTCGGCGATCATACAGACCCAGCGAAACCCCAGTGTGGCCACTAATCAG